GGGAGTTAGACATGGTCAAATCTTGTTTGGAAGTCCTGTCCTAAAAATATTGCCTGGAAGTTTGTCCCGTTGAAATCAGTGAGCGTTACTTCCTCCAGATAAGATGTTTAATACAAAAGAGGACGCCGAATTTAAGATCAGCTTCCCAACTGCTCGATTGTTTTCCTGTTTACAGCTTCAGCCTCAGTGCTTGCAAATAACTGGGTGGCAGTGGTGGAGAGATTCCAAACCCTTGCCCCAATCCCAAACACTTTAACTTGGAAATTAAATTCCTATTGAGTCCAGTGGAACTGACTTCAAAGCGCGGGAGATTCATGCAATTTGCTGGGAGTCAAAAGTTAAACCTGCGTCTCAATTCCCACTACTGTTTACGACGCCGAAGCGTTTGGGGCGTGCAAGTCTAAGCAATGTGGCAGGGAAATCAAACTCTGTGGGACTGTTAGCTCCACGCAAACTTGCCGAGGATCGCTCGGCGTGCCTGAGAACGTTTAACCTGCAGATGGATCCAGGGTGTGATTTTTCAGAAGTCCAACATTCCAATCGTAAGTCAAGTCCAGCTTATTCCAATGCAATGAGACTTACTTCGCAGGAAGCTTGTACAGGATCCCTGTATGGAAACAGGACCAAAAGGTTTACATCTACTTAGTCCACCTTTAATCGGTTAATAGGGATGGTTGTGCTTCTTCATACACATAAATAAACGAAAATACGAAATCATTAGGCTGTGACCCTAAATACACAAAGGAGTAAGCCCCATTTATCTCAATGGGACTTACTTCCAAGTAAGCACTGATAGGGTTGGCAAATGTAGTTCCTCACCCTGCCGCCACTGGGATTTCTTTCTAAAGTTCCTATTTCCTAATTTGAGGCAACTGGGTTCAGAGAAGTCTATGCTTCCTTAGGTAAAGGTAAAGGGACCCCTGACCATTAGGTCCAGTCGCGGAGGACTCTTGCACTTTGAGGTGCTTTCGAACTGCTAGGCTGGCAGGAGCTGGGACACGAGCAACGGGAGCTCACCCCGTCGCGGGGATTCGAACCGCCAGCCTTCTGATCGACAAGTCCTAGGCTCTGTGGTTTAACCCACAGCGCCACCAGCGTCCCCTATGTTTCCTTAGCAGGGTCCATTTGTTTGCATTGAAAACACCCACTTTTTTCGCTCAAATCGCAGCGTTAATTTCCTCTAGACGTTACACTTTCATTTGGGAGGCAGGAGCGACGTTTTCATACGTATTTAGAAAGCCAACGAAGTGAAGGCAAGCGCCGAACCAAAATAGCTTTAGCCAGCGCACGAAGAAATGCATCCACTTGCGCCCCAAGAGCTGCAGTTCGGGGGGGGGGGCGGAATCCCCATCAGCAACCCTTACTTTCAAAATAAACAAATAACTTTTAAAAGGTACTTTGCATGCCTTGTTTTTCATTCAGTCTGCCGTGAATCTATATCGTGGGATAAAAGCAGGAAATAAAAGGAGAGAGAAAAATGAGGGAGTCGCTCAAAAAGAAACACCCACAAAAGCAAACCAACATCCACCACGCTAAAGGGTCCGCTAAACTACAACCAGTAATAACTAAGACTGAACTGAAATTGTGTGCTTACGATCTAGCTAAAACTAAGCTTCGAAAACTAAACGGGGGGGGGGGCTTTCTAGGTGCATGTCTAACTCTCCCTTGAAATCAACATAAATTGAAAGTTCTTGACTTGGGCTATATTGTTTTCTGCGTGAGTTGTGCAATAAAGAGAGGCACGTTTCAGAATCGTGCTCTTCTCTTATAAAACTGCCTGGTCCATAAGGGAATCTTTCGCAGGACCAGCCACGCCAAATCTTTCTGTCTTCTTTGCAATCTAAAGCCTAAACGCAGCTACCCGGAAACAAGATTCCCTTAATTTTGAGGGATGGGGATCTTACCTCCAAGTTAGCAACTGGAATTATTCTTTGCAAAAACTTACAGATGCTCCAAAGGTTAGGAGGCGGGAGGTGATTTGGCAGGTTATTCTTGTCCCGAACAGCTTAGAAGTTCCTTTATGCTAGACTTATATTTTTTTATTAAAGAAAAATCATGAGAAACTGGAATAGGAAAGCTTTCTGCTGTATTTGAGAGCGGGTGGGAAGCCTGCTAAATAGCATAATTGATATTTTTCCTTCCAACAGGGGAGAAACATACTAATGTTACCGTCCATAAATAATTGCCTGGGTGTTGTTAATAGCTCTAATTTTCCCTGCCCATTTGATGTGCTGCAGGTTTAATATTGAGCACTTACTAATCCAATTAAAAGTGCACCTGGCCTGGAAGAGCTCTATAATTAGCAGGAGCATTTTTAGCTATTTCCACTGGAAAGGCGTGAAATCCTCTCCGCTGGGCTAATATGGGGGTCCAGGCATTCGTGGCTAATCGTTCGCCTGGAATGTGAACAAGTTCCCGGGCAGGGGAAGAAGTTGAGCGACTTTTGTCTCCTCTTGGGAAATGAAAAGCCATAGGCCCAAGGGGGGCAGCCCTTTCTTCGCTCAAATAGCCGGGACGGGACGGGATCGGGTCCCCAGGATCTTGCTGGTGGCTTGGGGGCGGGGGAGAGAGGAGAAGATTTTTACGCACAGCAGGGGTAGCCAGAGCCATTCATGCCAAAGTGCACGGAGAATTCCAATGGAACGCCGGAGGGCCCGATTCAGCCAATGGGAGCCTTTCGAACGTCCCGAGGACTCCCTCCCGCACCGCGCTTCCTTGGTGTAATTGTTTTATTCGTTCACATTTTTTGTTTTGTTTAGGCAGCAGAAGCCTAAATAGAATGATATTTGCTTTTGGGGGAGGCCATCATTTCTCAGAGGTCTCGCGTTTTCATTCACAATATTATCACCACAGACTCACCACAGATAGCCAATAACACACACACAGAGACGATTCTTGGCATTTTTTCTCTGCAGAATGATGCTAAATGTGCTTGTTCCCCTTTTCCTCCCAACCCTCCCCTCCGGGTTTCGCAAACTTTCTGGTTGGTGGGGCAATTCTGAATCCCCATGAAATGAAACCCTTTCTTTGTGTCCCGTGAAAGGAACGTCTGGTTGTGTAAGACAAGCATAGTCGACAATTTGCCATGCACGGCCCTGGGAGGACGGGTCCACTTTGTCCGATGGGAAACTCGCGAAGGGATGTCTCCATCTAGCCGGTAGCCGGCCTCGTTTGGAAAACGTGAATAATTGTCCGGTCAGCCGTTCGTAGGACCACGAGACCATAGCCTTGCCCGGCTTCTTTTCACTTTGAGAAAGGGGAAGAGCCGAGCTGTTTATCTGGGATGCAGTCCTCGCATCATTAAAGCCAATGATAGAATTCCTATGACTGCATTGATTCTGGACTCCACTCAGAGTTCTTGATAATTAGATCACCGTAAGATTGTGCACAACAGACCTTCAGAAATTCAGATCTTATCCGTCCTGTCGTGAGGCTCCTCGGAAGGAAATTATCTGAAGGTTTCAGCCATACTTCTTGTTCAGAGTTTATGTCAGGGTTGATACCTCAGAAGTGAAGCCTTTGGTTATTTGCAAATGATCTGCAACTATAATCTGGCTGGTTGTACATATTCTGAATTTGCTAATTTATGGGGAGAAGCACTTAAATTAGAGACTTGTCTCCGGAGGAGATGGCCTTTACTGTTTTGGGGAAGATTATTAACCCCCTTCAGGCGTTATGCTGATAGTGGCAGCACCAGGAAATGAAAATTGGAGGGGGGGGGATCATAGCTGTCAACTTTTTCCTTTTTTTGCGAGGAATCCTATTCGGAATAAGGGAATTTCCCTTTAAAAGGGGGAAACGTTGACAGCTATGGGGTGGACAGCAAAGTCAAAGTGTATTTCTAGGTGGGCGAGTAAGAAAAACAGCAGCACATGTTAATAACAAGAGTTCAGAAATGGAGCGGGGCACGTGTTGGGGGGGAGGGGCTGTTTGCTGACATTGAATGTGAACACGCGATGAGAGGGGATGGGAGGGTTCGGCGCGAGTAGACCCTTCTGCTAGCGTCCACTCAGAGCGCGTAAACGTCTGAAAGGCGGCAGGGAAACCACGCGATCGAGAACCCTCCATATAGCGTGGAAGCCTGCGCAAGGTCTTACGCCCTGGAGTGTGAATAACTGTAGAAGCGCTCACACGTCTGGAGGGAGGATGCCTCAGAACGGGATCCAGAGAAGTGGAAGCCTGTGCTTGCGGAGGCTCCTTGTCTCCGAGTACACGTGGAGAGAAATTGTTCTAGAGGCCACGCCTCCACCCTTGCCTTATTTTATGTAAAGCGCTTTCAGATTTTGATGATTAAGCAGTATATAAATCCTGATAATTCCTCCCCAGCATATCGTTTGAAAAGGACTTCTGTAGCTATAAAATAGTCCCAATCAGTACAGTGGTACCTCGGGTTACATACGCTTCAGGTTACACACTCTGCTAACCTAGAAATAGTGCTTCAGGTTAAGAACTTTGCTTCAGGATAAGAACAGAAATCGTGCTCCGGCGGCGCGGCGGCAGCAGGAGGCCCCATTAGCTAAAGTGGTGCTTCAGGTTAAGAACAGTTTCAGGTTAAGTACGGACCTTCAGAACGAATTAAGTACTTAACCCGAGGTACCACTGTACTTGAATTTCACTTTCACCCGGGTTAACTCTTAGATAACATCCGCTGGAGTTCCAGAAAGACTGCTTTTAGGCTTGCAGTCCTAAGTCCCAGTGACTTTAGCAGGGGAGAGAATTAAGCGCCTGCTTAACTCTCTCGCCCATTAAAGTCCACGGAGCTTCAAGGTGCTTCAAGGTGGCCGAACTGCGCCCGCCTCCATTAGACAGGAGCTGCAATTCCCCATACGGATCATGAGGACCTGTTGCATGTCCATCTTAAAATCCAGCTTTGCCGCACAGATGCCCGGGCCTTTTCTCTTTATGTAACTACCGAATACAATCCTGAGCTTCTTGTAACAAACGGAAGGCCCACTTGGAAAACGAGGCTTGAATTCCTGCATGCTGAGCTATAAAACTGCATGGAGACCTGCCGGAGACCGGCGCCCCCCTCTCCATTTTTTTGCGCTCGGAGGGGCCTGAAGGGCAATAATGTTCCAATTAGAAACTGCAGCTCCAGCCAAGCTCTGCTCTATGGAGCTATTCAGCAGCGTCGCGTTGCGCCTGGCACGGCTGGCGCGATCGTGGGGGAAGATATCTTAATGTTAGTGGTGGGGAGGGAGACCCGGCGGATTCAAGCGGGACGCAACAACAGCACAGGATCCCCGGAGCTGGCAGGCGGCTCACACCGGGCTTGGGGGTGGGGAACGAAGGGTGAGAGGCTGGTGGCCCACAGCGTGGCTCAGTGGCCACAGGCTCGGACCTAAGTGAAAAGGAGGCGGCGGTGAGAGTGAGCAATGCAGAGAGGACACTGTTGGGCAATCCGGTTCCCAGCCTGTTCCGGGCGTCGCGGCTTTCCTTGTGTGTAAATCCCTCCGGACGGATTTCCAGAGAAATGGGGTTAGGACCCAAGAAAGTGTTACTGGGACCTACACTCCGCACCTAACGCACCGGAAAACAAATCCCCGTATAATGAGCGTCTCCACCCGAGGGCCTTCTGGCGGTTCCCTCCCTGCGAGAAGTGAGGTTACAGGGAACCAGGCAGAGGGCCTTTTTGGTAGTGGCGCCAGCCCTGTGGAAAGCCGTCCCATCAGATGTCAAGGAAATACACAACTATCTGACTTTTAGAAGACATCTGAAGTTTTTATTGTGTTTTTAAATATTCTGTTGGGAGCCGCCCAGAGTGGCTGGGGAAACCCAACCAGATGAACGGGGAATAATAATAATTTGAAAGGCTGGCCACTTCGAAGATGGGGCGAGTCTCTTTTCTGCTGCCCATATGGTAGGACCACAGTCCATGTGTTCTTCTAATGAGAAGAAAGTTGTTTTTCACTCACGCACTGGGAGGAACTTCTTGAGAGCTGTTTAGAAGGGATTGCCTTGGAAGGTGCTGGATCCTTCTTCCCCATATGTTTTTAAGCAGAGGCAGTAGAGGTGACTTTCAGGCAATGGGTTAGGCTAGAAGGTCTTTGAGGTCCCTTCCCACTATATGATTGTGTGATTTCAATGGAATCTACTTCAACAATGATTAAGATCGCATCCGGAACATGGATATTCTGCCCGTTTCCAAGTACGTTCATTCAGAAATCATTTCCTTAATATTAATGGTAAATAGGCACAGGAACCTTATAATCCAATTCTAGGCATATTTACTCAAAAGCAGGTCCCACGCCGTTCAGTAGATCTTCCTTCCTGGTAAATATGCATAGGATTGCAGTCTACCAGCAGTCTTATGCATGGCTACTCAAGAGCATGTCCTGTTGAGTTCATTGAGCCTTACTGTCAGGTAAGTAAGTGTGTACAAGGTGCTTTGAATTGGGCCGCTTCAATATAGTAAGAACCAACAACAGGATTGCAACCTTGCTTTATGGCACAGTGGGATATATAGGAAGCTTCCAATTAAATGTATTTTGGAGAGGGGTAGAATCCAAAATTGCATTCTGCAGCAGGGTTCATTTCGTCTGGGGCTTCACTGCAATAGAAGGGACACTTTCATTTTATGTCTAAGTTTTGGGCATAACTTTTTACGCCCGAGCTGCCCAATTCTACCGTTCACGAGTTTGAATTTCAGTGTTCTTTTAAGGCAAATGCAGACTTTCTTCCGACCTGTGCTTTGGGCCTGTCGGCTGGAGGGGGGATGAGCACTTCTGGGAACTAATTAAAGAACAGAGGTCACAACAACCCACCGGGAGATTCTCATCCACGAGCCCCAAAGGAAATATTGGAGCTTGCGCAAGAGTACTAGCAGGTCGTATTCATTTCAATGCCAGAGGGTGGGGAGTTAGGCAGGATCGCTTCCCGAAGCACTGTGTCCAAACCGGAACCAGCTTAGTTTGGCTTTTAAGGGGCAGCCAAATTTGGTTCAGAGTTGGTTTTGCACAGGCAAGGTAAGGTGGCCTGGCAAGATGACTCCCTTTCATTATCTCTGCAGGATCAATTGTGATGAGCTTATGTTATACACGCAGACAACCCCCCCCCCCCCAACACACACACCAGGCGAATAATATAGATCTCGGCGTTGGGAGCAATGAGATGTCATTAGGGCGGAACTAATAGTAAATTAAAACAATTTTCTTTTTAAAACGGTGGAAGACAGAGGAACAATATACCGCACTTCCAGCTTTTCAGGCTTTCCGATGCAATTAAATTGCAAGGAAATCAATGGGGATTTCGTGTCACGTAAATAGTTGAGGATCAAGATGGAGAGCTGACGATTTACTTTCAAGTTAATAGCTGAGGATGGAGAGTTGACGAATCTGTTGACGAGTCTATATATGCTAGGTGTATAACACGCGGTCTGGTTCCATTCCTTTAACGCACGTCTGATATCTGCGCACTTCAGGCTGAAACGCAGGCAACAGTCTATGCACTCTTACTGGGGAGTAAGTCTCATTTAATTCAACAAGACTTCCTTCCGACTAAATATCAGTAGAATCCCGGCTGCATATTGATCTGTATCGATCAGGAATCGTAAAACAAAACAAAACAAAAAACACATTGGGAGTTCTGTTGACTTCAATAGGACTACTCTGAATCAAATCAGTTAATAATTGCTGCCATTTAGAGTTCGTATAGTGCAATCCCCCCCTCCAAAAATGTTTATAGGTGTAGTAATTACCCTGTGTGCGCGCCCATGTGGTTGAGTTGGTTAAAAAATAAAACGACATCACACCCATGGAAAGGAAGATGATTTTCCTTTAGTCACAGTGTTGACGAGGAACACGGAAATAATGTATGGGGAGATATTTTCTGCGCAATGGAGGATCACTGGCGCTTATAAACACCTAGGAGTAAGTCCCAGGTGAGTCGCTTGGCCCCCTGGGGCTTACTTCTGAGTAGACATAGATGAGATTTCACTGTAAGGCTGCAATCCTATGCACACTTTATGAGGTGTAAGTCCCAGTGGCGTTACACCTCTAGGACTGTGCTATTAATTCAGCAGCTCTGAAATCAATGTTTGGCATCCACCCTGATCTTAAACGCAATTCGGTTCGATGGAAACTGCTTCCAAACAAACAATGTGTCTCAATTCAGTTCACATGTATTCACTATCCTGGCGCTTCAAGATCTGTTGCCTGGGCCCTTCAAGCAATACGGTTCTCACATGATCACTCAGTCGCTTTCAAATGCCGTGGCAAAAACAGGAGGGCTCGAGTAAAACTTGGGGATTTTCAGAAAAGGCTAGAGGCGTGTTTTTCGAAACTTAATAAAAAGCGATCTTTGCAAACCAGTGTTGCGCGCAGGTAGGTTGGAAAATTCGAAGTATTTTGTGAAGCAACAATTCTTCTACCATGGCGTATTTCCCAGATCCGGTTAGTTTCCCCGACTGCCCTAGGGTGCCTGTGGAAGAACAAGGCGCAGGCACTTCCATCCTAAATGCGCTACTTGGGAGTAAAGGCCATGCTTGGATTGGGTCTGCTCTCAGGCCATGATATGTGGACGACAGCAAAAATAACGGCAGGTTTTATTTCTTTTTCAACTTTTGTGAAAAATATATTTAGGGGCACATTTTCCTTACTTTTCATTACCTTTCAGGGCCTGGTTAGCGCTTTGTAACGTACAAAAGCCACACATCAATACAGTGTTCTACGAATGCGTCCCTCTTAAAAGTGGCTAATAATCTGCTGTACCTTTATCTGTTTACGAATTCTGTGATTTTGAGAGGCACCGGTCGGGAGACTTTTAACTAGGAAAGCAAAATATATTTAAGGCAAAATAAACGCGCGCACCCGCGAGCGCACGCACCCATATAATAATGACTAGACTCACATTGCATTGGCTTCAGTACTTTGAAAAAACCCCCACCGTACACTGGACTCCTTTTGCACATGGACTCCTTTTAAGTTATCACTGGGGGAGGAACTGACCCGCCTTTTAAAGACTTCTACCAGCTTTTACTTTATTCTATATTTACGGGTAACTTTTCATTGTATGACTGGAAGAAAACCGGGCAAACAGAAATTATAAAATGTATCATAAGTTGAGGAGTATGGTGGGGAGGGACTTGAAGCCTAAAACTCATTGTTTCCTTTATTTCAACGGGGGGGAAACCTGAACGATTCTCATCCTTTTGATTGATTAAGGTCTTGAATAACTTGAGGCTTGAGAGTGACAGTTACTGAATAGACTATTGCAAATAAAAAAAGCCCTGTGGAAAGCCGGGCTGGCACTTCAGAGTGCAAAGGAGGCGAGTTTGCTGGCACTTACTAAGTTATAAATAAAAGGACATGCACAATAGTACCTTCTTTAAAGACAGACAGTCTTTACAACACTCCTGGCGTCATATCCTGCTGTGGTCACTTCAGCTCCTAGTCAGTCTTTTCTCTCCCTCTTTCTTTTTCTTTTTTTTTTTTAAAAAAAAACCCTTCCCCTCCCCCAGCAGTTTAGTTTCAATGCTATAATAAATTCCTGGGAAGATCTGCTTCTTAGCAAAGTTCACTTTGGCAAACATATATAGGAATGTGCAATATATATGTGTGTGTGTGTATATATATATACAGCACACGGCCCCGTAAATATGCACAAAGACCGACTCCTACCTATCTTTCCAGTTTTTAAAAGCAAGAATCCGTTTGGGAGGATCTATAAAGATTCCTGTTGCCGCCGTCGCTGTCTTGGTTTTTGTTTTGTTTTTAAAAATACGATTGCACCAAAAGCTGGGTTTCCACTCCCTCCAAATGCTGCTTTGAAAAGTTTGAAAACAGAAGGGAGGGAGTTGAGTGGGGGCTAAGTAAGAGAGAGAGAGAGAGAGAGAGAGAGAGAGAGAGAGAGAGTGTTTTGCTGGATGCCAGACACACGCCCAGGGGAATCTAGTCTGGAGTTTGAAAGGACAAAGGATAGTCTCGAGAGAAACGCTGGAGTTTCTCTTGAGTTTTCCTGCGTACAGCTGCGCATTTACAACCTCTCCGCAGAAGAAAGAAAAGGTGGCCCAGAAAGAGAGAGGCAGAGAGGCAGAGAAAGACTCTGACTTCAAGCCATGCAAGAGGTTGGCTACTTCCTCATTGTAATCTCTCGCACAGTGGCATTGTGCCAAGAGGAGTTGTAAAAAAAAAGGAAAAAAAGGAAGGGACCGTCCTTCCCCCCACCTTCTCCTCCTCCTCCTCCCTCCTCCGCCGCTTCCCTCCCCTGCTCCTCTTGCATTTTCTCCTGTCCAGCCATTCTCTGAAAGAAAAGGCACTTCATCAAGGGAAGAGAGAGGCAAATCCCGGGTCACCCTCCTAAGCCGGAGCCCTTCGATTGTCAGGAGGAGAAGAGAAAGTTGGCGCTG